ATGGGAAACCAATATTTCGAGGTGTTACATAATTTTTGGCCCAATCAAACTCAAAAATCAAAAAAATCTGCATTTCATTTTTCTCGCAGTGTGCACTTTATTTATTTAACATCATTGTCCTTTTAATGTTCCGAGGAATATCCTTTGTTTGTTTTCAACAATAATACTCTCTTGTACATCTTTAATTTTTAGCAGTTTTTTCAGCTGTATAACTTCAGCAGTGTGTGAGTGTGTCCGCGTTAAGGAGGGAGTGTGTGCGTTAATGGTCTCTTTTTCGTAACGCATTTGAAAACGTTTTAATTTTCTTCGCTGGTTGTGTGCTTTAGTTTTCATTTCTTTGCTTTCCGGCTCTTGCTTTCATTCTTTCACTATTGACTTTAATGTCTTAATTTTTATACCTTATATTTTCAGTTCTTAGTAAGCCTTTTGATTTCGGTGTTGTTGTCGTTGTTTTTTGATTTCTTTACAACGATGTTTGACTTTTCGTTTTAAGAAGCATTTACTTTACTTTGCTTACTTTCTCTCATGGAAAATAAAAACGAAAACGGAAATCTTTCTAAGGACGTGATTGCATTCAGTGTTTATTTTAGATGTAATAGCAAGAAAGTAAGTAAGTACGAACGGAGGATGACAAACGACAAATACACGCACACGCACACACCCACGCTCATTCACTCCCTCACAGCAGGAGGAGGAGGTGTAGAAGGAGCAGCAGTGTCATAATGAATGTGCGTGCTTACTGCCAAAGCTTTCACTCACTACGCAATGTAAACAATATCATTTTCACTTTAATTCTCCATTCGAATTTCCTCTTCTACTCTATTTTTCCAAAACAATTTTCTATGGAAAACTTTGTTCCAGTGCGAGTGTAAAATGTTTCCTGCAACGCTAAAGGAATTAAAAGGATTAGATGTAATGGTGTTTATTTTATTTTACGTGCATGTGTATGGTTGGCGTTGTTGTTGCTGCTGTTGTTTTTTGCTCATCTTGTCGAGTTTCTTATTTTCAAGTCTTTCCGCTGAACACACCACATGTGTCTAAACATTTCAAAGGTTGGCAAAGGCAACATCACACTAAGTGTCAGGGTAAAATAAACGCTGGTGCGTGGCAAAACATTGAAAATCGTGGGATGTGTGTTCTCGCTGGCATACATGACATGAGTTTGAGTTGGTGTTGTTGCTGCTTGTTGTTGTCGTTTCAGAATTTGTGGTCTACCATGGACATGTGGTGGCATGGTAGCTTATTGTAGTAATACAGTTTAAAAATATAATTTTTCATTATTCAAGCAAAGCAATTAAAGGGAAAAGGAGAAAAAATAAGATAAAATTGTCCAAATATTAGGGAAGTTATTCCGGATTCGGATACTGAATTTAAAGCACAATTTTTTTGCATAGATCGGTTTTCACCCAGTAAGAAAAGGTCAAAAGTCGGGTGGGCCGACTATAAGATACCCTACACCGCTATGCGTATATCCATTACCTCCATTCCTCCCATTAGTTACCAAAAAGTCATGTAGAAACTTGAGTATGACCGGAACTATAGCTATGGCAGAACAAAAAGGATTTTGGGCAAAAGTGAATCAATGAATCTATTTACGCGTCGGAAAAAGCAAAAAAGAAAAAACAAGTAAAAAAGCTGTATGTTTGGCCGGGCCGAACTTTGAATACCCTCCACCATTTGGAACGAATTTGGCAATTCTCAAAAACTATATAATCCGTTAAAAATTCTACTAAAAACTTAAAAATGCCGAATGTAGCTGTTATATTAGGGTCTATACGATGACATGGACCTGCATAGGTAACATTTCTCATAAGCCATTACAATATTCAAATGCGATACACCGCTATGCGTATTTGGTACAGCTCCCATTACAATAAAAGTTTATATTGCGAGTTTATGTTTAGTATATCACACCAACTATGAACCTTAGTTAAATGCGTATCATGGCTTTAGAGTAGTCACAATTTGGGAACTATATTGAACTCTGAATCGATTTTCAACAAAGTTGACGGAGGGTTTTATACTTCTAGTACCAAATAACATTACCGCATGATATGACTTCGATAAGGATTGTATTAAAAAAATATTTATTAGAGCAATAGATATACCGGACCGAGTTTCACCAAATGGAAAAATTCGGTTCAATATCAAAGAATCTATACAAGTTGGGTTGATATTACATATATGGTGGACAATTTCCTTAAAATGGGATGAAGATGTATATCGATATCGACCTGAACCGATCTCGATAAAATTTAGCAGAGGTATTTTCCAGCTGTATCTGATGTTCGGAATCAAATATCTTTGTTGTGCAGTGCATATTACGCATGTGAGGAACTTAAACAACAAATCGCACGAAACATATACAGGTGAGATAAAAAACTGCAACCAACTTCAGATTGCGGTCATTTCTAAGCTACTAGTCCGACAGCTTTTAAAATTATTCCAGTGACAGCTCATAATATTGTTTATAAGCGTACAAAAGCATTTTGGTGAGCGTTTTCCAGAAAAAAGTTATTCCTGATGGAATTCAAGCGTGATAGTGCAATTTCTTTATATTTGGCTGGAAAACCACAAGTGGCTATCGTTAGAGCACTCCAGCATTTAAATGTGAATAAATATTTTGTGTCTCGTACCATCGCTCGTTACCGTAATACTGGTAGCGTAGCCCGACGTCAAGGAAGTGGGTTGAAGAAAACAGCAGCATCAGCAGAAATGGTTCGAAAAGTAAAGAAGCGACTTGATCGAAAACCGCGTCGCAGTGGACGAAAAATGGTCGTACAATACTCAATTCGGAAAATATTGAGAAATGAGCTCGAGGTAAAGCCATTGAAATTCCAAAAAGTGTAAGAACTTACACCGAAACAGAAAAAAATAGACTCAGAAGAGCTAAAGAGTTGATTCGCTTGGCCGAAAGTTGTGACCTGCCGAATTCGGGAGTTGTCCAGCAGTTTGTAAACAAACAAAATGATCATATTTACTTGCCACAGAGGTCAGCTGAAAATGTGCACCTTCGGTTGGCCAGCAGAACTCAAGCACTGGTCATGGTGATGGTGCGGGCCGCCATAACAGCCGATGGTCGCTCTCCGTTCGTATCGGCATCAAAATAAATGCCGAATATTATCGCGAAAATATTCTGGAGGGTGTATTAAAGCCTTGGGTACGCAAACATTTTGGCTGCAGACCTTGGATATTCCAACAGGACTCAGCACAATCGCACTTAGCACACGCCACCCAAGAGTGTTTCCAAAATAAGGTTCCTCGCTTCATTTACAGCGCACAATGGCCACAAAAATCTACGGATACCAATCCGTTGGACTATTGTGTCTGAAGTATTTTGGAAAGCAAGGTAGGCACTAAAAAATACCAAACAGTCGATCATCTCAAGCAAGTGCTTTGCCGGGAATAGCAACATTCGATCTATCAGTGTTCATCCGTCCCTTTGGCTGGTGCATATTATAACTTTTGATGGTATTTGATATAACGTGGTATTTTTTCCAAGCTTACATCATGTTCGGAGATAAGCAATATCGGTTCACTTCTTCTGGTACCTACATTTTCAAATAAAATATTATTGTCGTGTAAACAAAAAATTACAGGAAGAATTTTCGCCGCCACAGGGCGTGTATTCAATGAAAATCAAATTTGAATTTTGAAATTTGACAAATTTTCGGAAATTCTACTAAAATTTGGTTTAGAAGAATTTGGTTTAGGAAGATATCTCATTGGCAATGATAAATGGAAGACTTTTGCGAAAATTTTTGGCACGTCAAGTTACATTCGGAAAAATATATATTCCGAAAATTATGAGATACAGTTATATATTTTGACTATACTTAAACTTGAGATAAATGTAACCAACAAAATTATATTTTGAATAATGAAAGATATGCTACTTTGCAAAAGAATAAGTTTACAAGTTTTAATATATGGCCCAGTTCCAAACCAAATTGAAGACAGCCTATAACGGTTCGACCCAGCCGAAATCAAATTCCTTTTTTATACCCTCCACCTTGGAAAGGAGGGTATATTAACTTTGTCATTCCGTTTGTAACATCCTTAAATATTCGTCTTAGACCACATAAAGTATATATATTCATAATCAGCAAAAAATTCTAAGTCGATTTAACGATGTCCGTCTGTCTGTCCGTCAGTCTGTCTGTCAGTTGAAATCACGACACAGCCCACATTATTTGACGTAGAAATTTAGCAGAGCTATTTGCATTGTGTCTAGGATGGTTGGTATTGAAAATGAGATATATCGGTCCACGTTCTGGTATAGTCCCCATATAATGGTACCTCCCGATATTCGATATTTTGATGATTTATGCCACATTTTTTCACGGATTTGTCTGAAAATTGGTATTTGTAGGTCATAACGGGTCCCTGACCGTGTGGCAAAACATTGCATGTATAGATCCACGTTGTGGTATAGCCCCCATATAAAGGTACCTCCCGATATTCGGTATTTTAGGTTTTTGCCACATTTTTCACTGATTTGTCTAAAAATTGGTATTTGTGGGTCACAATGGGTCCTAGTTCGTGTGGCGAAACATGGTAATTATAGGTCCACGTTTTGGTGTAGCCCCCATATAACGGTACCTCCCCATAATCGGAATTTTAATGGTTTTTGTCAAATTTCTTCTAATGTTTCTTTTACCCTAAGGTGGAGTGTATTAAAAGTTTGGCCCGGCCGAACTTAATGTTTTTTTACTTGTTATTTATTAGGCTTAATTTTTAATTGTTCATAACCAAAGAACAACCACTTATTTAGTCTAAACAAATTTAAGTCAGTTGTTAGACTCTTAAAAATCGGCCGAAACTCCTATCATTTGATAATGATTTGTTTGTTGAGAACTCATTTACATTGACAATTTATTACTTGAGACAATAGATTATGATTTCTGCATAGTAAATTCTTTAAAATTACAAAATTATTTTATATTATATTATTTACACAATCAAACTCAATAATAAATAATGAGATCTGCTTCACTTACCTCTCGTAAAGACTGTCACCAAAACAATCCATAATAATTGTAGTAATCCTTGTGACGTTTGCATTTTTGTATTTTGCTATTATTCTTTTCTTTAAAGTTTCGCAGAATTTTATGATAATAAATTTAAAGACGACGTTTATTGTATTTGTATGTGTCACACAGCTGAACAATGAACTTTCACCTCAAAATATGAAATCCTTCAATTGTCTTGGTATCTGCTTAATGTCTGATAAGGCCTCCAGAATTCTTCAGAAATGTGTCTGCAATAACAACAAAGAAGAACAATTAAAGAACAATTATTCGTCGCTTTTCTTGTTTCAAGCAACAATAGCAGATAATAGTCAAAAAATATTTTCAACAATATAATAAATCATAGAACACCCACGGCGACATTTGAGTTGAGCGCACAAGAAATATATGAGTAATAAAAAATATGCATAATATTCAGTGTGATGTGTCACTTTTCTTCAGTGGAGGGTGAAATTATGATATAAGTATTATGTTGCATTATGGAGGGGGAGTTTTTTCTATTTCTTTTTCGCTCCTGCATTGCCTTGGATAATGTCTTTAATATTATGTTCTACTTAATGTATATACTATTTACCTGAGAAAAATTGTATGGTGTAGTACCAAAACATGGATAAACAAGTAAGCAAAGACTATTGTCGTGCGGGGCCAACCATGTGATACCCTACAACACTAAAATATATTAAAAGCCCCCTTATGTCCAAATCCATTTTGGAAGATTTCGCTTTTGAAATTAAGTCACGGAGCACTGCCCAGATATTACCCTTAGCATTTTGACTAGGGACATTTTCCCAATATTTACGCACTCCGTCGTGCTATTAGTTGTTGTGGTCCATTTTACAGCCATATATAATCCAATGTTCATTCAAAATGCTAGAATTCTTCCCTGTCCTTAACCCTCTTGTCATGAGTGTCGATTGGCTTCAATTGTGTGATCAGATTTTTTTTTCTATTTTTGGTTCATTTGAAGCCCTCTGTACCTCCAAACTCAGACTTAGCTATATGATTTGCTTGTCTACGATATTTGGCTATATTCGTCAACGTAATCAGCACAAAAAGCCAGAAGTTAGCCTTTTGTGTATTTGTATAGTAGGGATCCATTCAACCCGCTGTCATAAACTCTAACTTCATGCGAGATTTCGTGTCCTTGGGTTTCTATTTGCGACCTTTATAACGGCTGCAAAAGTTGTTGGTCCATTTCAACCCCTAAATAAATACATTGCGGACGTATTTGAAAACAATAGGCCCAGCCCTTCTGAGCCTAGTCCTACCCTTGTGAATATTTTCGTGAGGATCGGAAAAAAGTGCAATCGGTATATAATCCCAACACGTGTTGTAGGGTGAAAAAATATTGCACAATATACACTTATATATACACTCCATCAATACACTTCATCAATAAGTCAAATTGGAACCAGTAAAGAAAGTCTTAAAGTCGGCCCGCCCGACTTTATGATACCCTACACCACTTTGCTAATTTAGTAGAGCTGCGCATAACAATTAAAAGTTTTTATGGGATAATTCAATCATTCAATTCGGACTTGTATTACCCATTTGGTGCACAATTAATTTGAAATCGCATAAAAATATATATGGGAGCTATATCCAAATCGGAACCGATCTCGATAAAATTTGGCAAAGATATTTCTGAGCTGTATATGATATATTTCCCTGAATATCGTTGTTACGGAGTACATATTACGGCTGTGGGTAACAAATATAACAAATCGGATGAACAGTATATATGGGAGCTATAGCTATATCTGAACCGATCTTTACCAAATATGACATACTAGCTTCTAGACTCAATTCGGTCGTAAGTGCCAAATTTCATCCAATTTGAGCAAATATTAGACGTTTGGTGCACAATGAAAGGTAAATCGGACGAAGTTATGGGAGCCATATCCAAATCTGAACCGATCTCGAAAAAATTTAGCAAAAGTATTTCTGAGTTGTATTTGATAAATTTCCGCAAATATTGTTGTTACAGAGCGGAGGACAAAAATAACAAATCGGATGAACAATATATATGGGAGCTATAGCTATATCTGAACCGATTTCGATAAAATTTGGCATACTTATTTTGAGGTCCAATCTGATCGTACGTGCAAAATTCCATACTATTCGGGCTGATATTACACGTTTGGTGCACAATAAAAGGCAAATCGGACGAAGATATATATGGAAGCCATATCTAAATTTTGACCGATTATCTCCAATTTCAATAGGGTTCATCCTTGGCCAAACAAATGATTTGTGCAAAATTTCATCTGGATAGGGCAATAAATGCGAACTGTACTTTGTTTACAAAGATACATTTACAAAGATAAATCGACTCAGAATGTGATTCTATGCAGATCATCAAAAGGAACTACCTCACCAAATATGTCTGATGAGTCGACTAACCAATCGACCAATGGCACGTTTTGTAATATGCACTCCATAACACTGATATTCAGTAAGATATATCAGATACAGCCTAGAAAAGCTATTATACAATTTGACGAAATTGGTTCAGATTTGGATATAGCTCACCAAATATATCTTCGTCTTATTAGCCCAAATAAGATGATATTTGCCACAAATCATCAAAAGTATCCCAGTATCAAAGTACATGCAATTTGGCAAATGTCTGTTCAGATATAGCTACAGGCGCCATATATGTATATTTATACCCTACAACACGCAGTGATAAGGGTATTATGTCTTTGTGCATTTGCTTGTAACATATAGACCCATAGCTACTTTTAAGGATCTTCATAAAATCCCTTTCTGGGCCGATTTATGCATGTATGTCTGTCCGTCCGTCCAAGTATTCTTGTGAAAAAAATGCAGGTCGCACTTATTATCCGATTGAGATTAAATTTTTCATTTGTTTGGGTCAAGCACGAACCACGAATTGGTGATAATCGGATCAGATATAGATATAGCTCCCATATTTATTTTCATCCGATTTCGGGTTAATTGTACACCAAATGGCCAATATCAGTCCAAATGATTTGAATTTTGGCACATCCGACCAAATTCAGTCGAGAAGAAAGTACATAAAATTGGATTAAAATCAGTTAACATATGCAACAATGATATTCAATACCGGGCATCAGATACTGCTCGAAATTTTATCGAGATCGGATCAGATTTTTATACATTCAGGGTGAGATAAAAAAAAAACTGCTACCAACTTCAGACTACTGTCATTTCTAAGCCACTCATCCGAAAGCTGTCAAAATTATTGCAGTGACAGATCATTATATTGTTTACAAGCTTACAAAAGCATTTTGGATAGAATATTCCAGAAAAAAAGTTATTCATGATGGAATTTTAGCGTGATAATGTGATTTCTTTATATTTGGCTGGAAACCCACAAGTGTCTATCGTTAGCGCACTCCAGCATTTAAATGTGAATAAATCTTTTGGATACCGTGATACTGATAGCGAAGCCTGATGTCAAGGAAGTGGACGGAAGAAAACAGCAACATCAGCAGAAATGGTCCGAAAAGTAAAGAAGCGACTTGATAGAAACCCGCGTCACAATATCCGAAAAATGGCTCGCTTCATTTCCAGTGTGCAAGGGCAAACAAAATCTCCGGATACCAGTCCGTTAGACTATTGCGTGTGGAGTAATTTGGAAAGTAAAGTTGGGACTAAAAAAATGTGTCGATCACATCCAGCGACCGCTTCGCCGGTGTGTGTGTGACGGTTTCATTGGCCGTTTGAAGGCCATAACTCGTGCCAAAGGTGAACAATTCGAACAAATCTAAACTAATTCTAAAATTTGATGCTATTTCCGACTTTTTTTTGCTTTCATTCAATAAAATTTGAAAAATTTAAAAATTATGGAGTTTGACTTTTTTGCAGTTTTCTTTTATGTATTGTATTTTAGATATTTATGTACTGTATTTTAGATATCGATGGTGACAATAAAAATTCTGACTTCTTGAGCAGCGTCAGTGTGTTTTGCGAATCACTACCCACACCAAAATCTCCAACTGAGCATTATTCGTGACATAAAGAGACACTGATTATTCCAGTACATTAGCACAATTGCATGATTGCGTTGCCGATTCTGTCTTGTCTTGGGCTCTGACTTATATGTCCTAAAAGTTTGGGGAAGGAACTCCATGATATAGAGAAAGATATCTAATAATATAAGGTTATCAAGCTATTTAGCATATTTACATTTTGGGAGGTACCGTTATATGAAGGCTATACAAACACGTGACCCTGCATAAGCAATTTTTTATCATAGGCTTGTTTCTAAATACGAAACAAGAAAAAACTCTGGTGAGTAATGTCCCTAAATTGATCCCTAAAAATGTAGCTAAAATCATCAAATTACCGAATATAGGGAGGTACTCTTATTTAGGGGATATACGATGTCGTGGGCGTATATAGACAATACTCTTCCATAGGGTAAAGTACTCACAGAGAACTCATTGCGTAAAATTTCAGAAAATGCCATTGAAAAATGTAGCTAGAATCGTCAAAATACCGAATATAGAGAAGTGTTATATGGGTGATATACGATATCGTGGACCGATATAGCTCATGGACCGGGCTGCAGACAAAAACTGATCTGTGCAAAATTGTACCTTCTTATCTTTATTAGTTTGGACTCTAGCGTGGTTACAACAGACGGACGGACGGACTTACTGACAGACGGAGTCAAATTGTCTAGAATTTTACGATGAACAATATGAGTTACAAACGGAATGACGAACTTAATATATCCTCCATGGTAGAGCGTATAAAAAGTGGGTAAAATTTTCCCAATATTTTACCAGGGAGCTACATACATATGGGCATACGCTTTATGTGAATCCACCTGATATAAAGAAGCACACTCTTCCATTTTATTTATTTGCATTGAAACAAGGATGAGCCTCCAAGTATTTCATGAAGATATCCTTGAAACCGATGCTTTGAAGTTATTAACTTCATGTAACATGGAGAAGGAAACGAGATAGACTCATAGTTACTTTTGAGGATCTCCATAGAATCATTTTCTGAGTTGATTTATGCATGTTAGTCCGTCTGTCCGTCCGTCTGTCCATGTATTCTTGTGAACAAAATGCAGGTCGCATTTATTATCCGATTGAGATGAAATTTTGCACAAATTATTTGTTTAGCCCAAGGACGAACCCTATTGATATTGGAGATAATCGGTAACAATTTAGATATAGCTCCCATATATATCTTGTGTAACAAACGTGTAATATCAGCCCGAATAGTA